AGTGTTGCCGGCGGCCTCGTCGAAGGAGGAGTGGGGGTTGTGCATGCCGGAGGAGGAGCGCAGGGAGAGCAGCGGCTTGGCGCCCGCGCTGGGGTTAAACGAGCCGTCGGGGCAGGACGACGCGCCTGCGCCTGAATGCTCCGCCAGGCTGCCGCTATTCTGCAGGGGCGAGCGGGGAAGCAGGGAGAGCGGGAGAGCAGACGAGGGGGGGCGCGCGGGGGGGGGAAGAGGGGGAGAGCAGAAGAGTTGTTTTTCTAGGCGCATCAAAAGCGACAGCAGGGCTGGGAGCGCAGGGAGAGCAGCGGCTTGGCGCCCGCGCTGGGGTTGAACGAGCCGTCAGGGCAGGAGGACGCGCCTGCGCCTGAATGCTCCGCCAGGCTGCCGCTATTCTGCAGAGGGGAGCGAGAGAGAGAGGGGGGTGGGGGGGGAATGCCATGGAGGAAAGGAGCTGAGTTCTGAAGCGCCTTAAACGATGCGCCTGCGCCTAAATGCTCCGCCAGGCTGCCGCTATTCTGCAGGGGCGAGCGAGGAAAGGGGGGGGGATGCAAGCGGGGTGAGCAGAAGAGGGGGATACGAGGGAAGGACGTAGACGGCTGCCATTGCGTAAGTGAAGAAAAGGCAAACGCAAGTGTCTCAATGTGAGGCTCAACGGTTGAGGCAGGCAGCAGGCACGATTTGTTCGAGAATGCTTTGAGCGACAAGAAGCAAGTGGGCAGTATTGCGCACATCCAATCCAAATCTCTGACGCGTTCGAGATGAGCCGTGCACTTTCTAGACGATTCAAGAGCAATCTAGATTATGCCCAGCACTGCGGCCCCTCTGGATAGATACTAGAAACCATGTCCGAAGACAAGGGGACGATGCGCACCTGCAGGCTCTCCGGCGCGTTAGAGACGAGCTGGATGCGGCGCCACACGTGCTGCCACATGTGCGTGACGTCACGCTTCGTCACCGGCTTCACCAGATACTCCTCCGCGCCCGCCGCTATGCACTGCAGCACCGTCGCCTGGTTGGAGTTGCCTGACATCACTGCCACGTCAGCAAAGTCAGAATTACGCGTCAGATACAGAGAAACGCGTGACAGATACACAGTCACATGCAATGCGCGGCGACACACGCCAACACGTACAGTACAGAACATACGCGGGAAATCCGAGCCACGTCTCACGAACATCGATCCGCACCCAAGATACGTTAAGCTGTCAGCAGTGTGGCACACTTAACGCTGCATCGAACGAGGCGTGCGGCGCACGTACTGATGATGGGAATGGCGTTGTAGTTGGAGTCGGCGCGGAGGATTCGCAGCAGCTGCAGCCCGTCCAGCCCCGGCATCATTAGGTCCTGCACCGTTCACAGCGTCGCACAGCGTCGTATAGCGTCGCATAGCGTCGCACAGCATCGCACAGCACAAGGGTAACGGCAGTCAGCAACAGACAATAACCGAAGAAAGAAACCCAGAGCGGCGCGAGCGCAGGTACCACCCGGGACGCTGAGAAGTACAAATCAAACGCGTGGAACTGTATCGGACGAATTTCCTGAGCGCAAAGCTTACAACGAGGATGAGATTGAACCCGTCTGGCCTCTCCTGCAGCACCCGGAGGGCCTCCATCCCTCCATCCGCCACCGTCACTGCATATCACGAGGCACACCGGGAATCTCGTCAGATTGCTTGAAACCCGATCGCATACAGCATGATATCTCTCGTACGGTAACCGAGTCGGTCAACTCATGCGACAATCGACAGCAACGAATGGATTATTGAAGCTAAAAACGACGGTTCTCCGAATCCAAAAATCCAGTCTATCGCATCCAATAGAATCACTCATAACAGTAAAAAGTTTACGGTTCTCGAGTGTTAGAAGACGACTTGAAGTCGCAATGGCAGTGTAAGCGTCTGTGGCCGTATCCGTTCGACTATCTTCGTATCCGTGCGTATCTGTTCGTCCAAAGCCAATGAACTCGCGGGAGCTCCAATACCGAAACTAGGTGGTTTTTCTCGCAAATTCATAACTTAAGCGATCTTCTGTCGCTTCCCGGCAGCTCAAGTAAACCCCCGGCTTTCGTGTCGACTCACACGGCGATTGGTGCCAGTTTCTACTCCCCTTGGCCGAAATCACAGTCTCATAGACTGTCCATAGTTCTAGAAGCTCGCGCTAACCTCTTCCTACTGCATCTTAACCTCTCCCGTCGCGTTCTTAGTTCTCATATCGTACGGTTGAACCTTCTGGCCATCGTTGGCACTAAAGCGAAACTTTACTCTCAAATCGCAATTTCAGCCCTATTCGATCACTCCAGCCTAAATTCGGAGCCGGAATCACCACCACGCAAGCACTTTGTCACCTTGATAACCACATCTTCGGAACTGATTTCCGACGACTAATCGCGAGAGCCTTTCGTCGTCCACCACTAAAACGTGAACGTCCGACGGCGATATTAGCGGCATTCCCCCGGCTGCTGCAGCTCCTCCCGATCCCCCGCCGCCTGTCGTGAGAACTCCATCTTGCACTGGAGTGTAAGGATCCATGGCGGTAACACTGACTGAATCTAGGAGAAGATCTAAGGTCTGCTGACAAGAAGTCTTTAAGCGAGCTCGCGGCCAGCATAGTGAGTCGAAACGGCTCTGGCAACGCACACCACAGATTGAAATGATTTCTCAGCAAAAATTATCCCCCTGGCCACCACTCTCCACATCAGGAGCCCCAACTTCGTTCACTCCGCACGTGAACGCAATAACTATTCTTCAACCGATAACCCTAATTTAGTTAGCCTCCTCCGTGACACACAACTTTATCGCGAAAAGAAACTACGAATGAAGACGGAAGCGTTGCGCAATTGCTACTTTATCGGCTTGTAGCCTAGGGTTCCAACCAAGATGGTTCCTCCACTGGACCTGGGGTTTGCTTGCTTCTAGCATAGCAGACTCACTGAGCCTCAGCACAAGCTTGGAGCAGGAGGAGCAGGTTTGGCTGCTGCGGCTGGTTCGGTGGTATGGTATGGCATGGCATGGCATGGCCACGTGTACATGTGAGTGGCGAGGGTGGTGGTAGGGAAGGGATTCGAGAGGGATGTGGGCCCGTGAACCAGGCTCGGTCCAGTGGTCAGGGAGGGAGAGCACGAAACAAAAGTTGGCATGGCAGCGAACTTAGGGATTGCCACACGGATGGCGCTGGTTGGCCAAACCATGTGAGGCTTGCTTTTTTTCACTTTTAGGACCCCGAAAAGTGCACGGCATCCAGCTCACGGGAAAATATCTACAGCCCACCAGCGATAGACAAAAGATCCTGACCTGGGGTGGTTGGTGTGAGGGCAGATGGGTCACGTGATGTCCTGTCAAATTGCTCTCGAATCACGTGACAGAATTCTTAGCTGTTTGCTGATTGGTTCGGAGAGGTTTCTACCTGAGGTGTGCTGGCCAGCAGTTGCACATGCAAATTTGATTGTTCTTCTGTACACATGATGCTCGATTGACCCCCCCATGCTTGCCTCACTCTTTGGGCGTCGATTCTTGCATTTCGCAAATGTTTCGTCAATTCGCACATAGCAAAAAAAGTGCTTATAAAAAAACACAAATGTTACACGTTGACATTTTGACGGCGGTCTCTTCTTTACCATTGGCTTATCATCACTGCATTGACAGTTGACTTCGGTCGCTTCGTTACCATTGGTTCAACACCAACTGCAACTTGCTCAGGGGGCTTGTAAACTGGGTGCAACTTCCCGTCATCAATTGTTAGTGGGCAGGGAATTGACATCGGGGAGATCAAATCCACGCGCAGCAGTTGAGCATCTGCAGCCCAGCTGTGAAGGTCTGCCCAAAGCGCACACGGGCCGGCACCTTGAAAGGTGAAGTAATGCTTCAAACGGGGTCCCACTAATGGTTCGTACATGAATGAGATACAATACAAATGCGACAATAGCTGCACTAAGTATACATGCTTGCAATCTGTAAGCAGAGTGCAATATCCCTGCCATCACCCCAACCACCATCCCCCCTTACTACCGGTATTGAGTACACCGGCAAAATGACCAGATGCGCATCTTTATCAATTGAATCCTTCTTGTCTTTCTCTGATAGACTTAACACTTCATCAGATCCCCCTGCACCACTAGGAATTCGTGGAAATCCACTCCCATTCCTGTTTGTATCCCCATCCCCATTCCCCATTCCACTCCAATCCCCTATCGCATTACCATCCCCATGTAATCCGTACTCGCCAAAGTGCCATGCACTGGCGCGGTGCCACCTCAGCATGCGAGCGGATGGCATGTGGTAGGAGATGAGCTCCCACATGGACCTGTCCCAGTTGTAATCGTCCAGGTGGCAAAACTCCTGACAACCATAAAAACCCAGGCAGGGAATAGAGCTGAGTGACAGGCGGTTATTACGTGGAGTGCACAGACATTTAGGCGGATGAAGCATAGTACAAAAGTACAAAATGTTGGATAAAATATATAAAACATCTTAGACATTTGCGTCTCGATACTCAGCTGACCAGAGGGAGGATGTACAGTAGGTTGGAGGCAACCAGTGGAAAAAAAACTGTTTAACCAGTGGATGTACAGTAAGTTGGATGCAAGAAGGGTGGAGGAGAGACGTGGATGGAGTACAGCACAGTGCAGACGTGTGCAGAACAGTGCAGATGAGTGCAGATGAGTGCAGATGAGTGCAGACGAGTGCAGATGAGTGCAATGAGTGTTGAGTGCAGATGAGATGAATTTCAAACCTGGTGGATCAAAATGGCCCATACGCCCACACGCATTCCCCACCAATAGAACTAGCAGTACACATTCCCAACATCATAACTCTTCCAGCCTCTGCCTCACCTATGGAGAACTCTTGGAAAACTATTCTCAATGGTGGCTACATCAGCTCCAGCACACCCCTGTTTAACCCACACCCCCCCATGGATTCCTGGGACATCTTTAAACAGCATATACCATACATTCACCACCATATCCCTGCCAGCCCCTGCATCACCTCCCACCCACACACTCCTATCCTAGCTCTTCCCACGTTGCCCATCCCATACCCCGGGGTCATACCCCACCTGAGGAACAACATACCACACCTGAGGAACAACATACCCCACCTGAGGAACAACATACCCCACCTGAGGAACAACATACCCCACCTGAGGAACAACATACCCCACCTGAGGAACAACATACCTCACCTGAGGAACAACATACCCCACCTGAGGAACAACATACCCCACCTGAGGAACAACATACCACACCTGAGGATCAACATACCACACCTGAGGAACAACATACCCCACCTGAGGAACAACATACCCCACCTGAGGAACAACATACCACACCTGAGGATCAACATACCCCATTTCTCATACACCCACCAGCGTACCTTTGCCAGCGCGTGCATCATCTCCCACACACTGCGGTTGAAGCTGTACCCCACGTCGCCCATCCCACACACACGGCCGTACCCCACCTGTGGAACAACATACCACCATAAACCCACCACCATACCGCATGCCCCACCAGCGTACCTCTGCCAGGCCATGCATCATCTCCCACAAGCTCCGGTTGAAGCTGTACCCCACGTTGCCCATCCTCTCCGCCGTGAAGTGCCCAATCCCCCTCAAAACTCCACCCTTCTCCACCCCATTCCCCTCGAATCTTCTGACCGACAGCCTCAATCCCCTCGCTCCAGCCACGCCCCTTTGCCGATCCTCCACCTCCCGCTGTGCTTGCACTGCAGTCTTCACTCCCCTCCTCTCCACCGCACCCTCCTCCTCATCCTCCACCACCCCCACATCAGCAGGGGCAAGGCTCACAGCGATGCACTCGTTGCAGCGCCCGCGGCGCTTGGCGCTTAGCAAAGAACGGAGGTGGCTAAGTGCGTTGGGCAAGAGCCAGTGGTCCTCCTCTATAAAGAGCGTGTGGCCGTTGAATGCCTTGGTCTCTGGGAGGCCGTTCCACACCGTGTTCTGCACCCACCACCAGTGGTGCTGCGAGGGAGGGGGTTTGTGTGGGAGGCAAAGGCAGGAGGGGAAGATTGGACGACGAGGGGAGAAGGGGGGGAGGCATAAGGGGTTGGTTGGTGGGAGGGAATAGAGATGTTGCGCAAGAGCCAGTGGTCCTCCTCTATAAAGAGCATCTGGCCGTTGAATGCCTTGGTCTCTGGGAGGCCGTTCCACACCGTGTTCTGCACCCACCACCAGTGGTGCTGCGAGGGAGGGGGTTTGTGTGGGAGGCAAAGGCAGGAGGGGAAGATTGGACGACGAGGGGAGAAGGGGGGGAGGCATAAGGGGTTGGTTGGTGGGAGGGAATAGAGATGTTGCGCAAGAGCCAGTGGTCCTCCTCTATAAAGAGCATCTGGCCGTTGAATGCCTTGGTCTCTGGGAGGCCGTTCCACACCGTGTTCTGCACCCACCACCAGTGGTGCTGCGAGGGAGGGGGTTTGTGTGGGAGGCAAAGGCAGGAGGGGAAGATTGGACGACGAGGGGAGAAGGGGGGGAGGCATAAGGGGTTGGTTGGTGGGAGGGAATAGAGATGTTGCGCAAGAGCCAGTGGTCCTCCTCTATAAAGAGCATCTGGCCGTTGAATGCCTTGGTCTCTGGGAGGCCGTTCCACACCGTGTTCTGCACCCACCACCAGTGGTGCTGCGAGGGAGGGGGTTTGTGTGGGAGGCAAAGGCAGGAGGGGAAGATTGGACGACGAGGGGAGAAGGGGGGGAGGCATAAGGGGTTGGTTGGTGGGAGGGAATAGAGATGTTGCGCAAGAGCCAGTGGTCCTCCTCTATAAAGAGCATCTGGCCGTTGAATGCCTTGGTCTCTGGGAGGCCGTTCCACACCGTGTTCTGCACCCACCACCAGTGGTGCTGCGAGGGAGGGGGTTTGTGTGGGAGGCAAAGGCAGGAGGGGAAGATTGGACGACGAGGGGAGAAGGGGGGGAGGCATAAGGGGTTGGTTGGTGGGAGGGAATAGAGATGTTGCGCAAGAGCCAGTGGTCCTCCTCTATAAAGAGCATCTGGCCGTTGAATGCCTTGGTCTCTGACAGGCCGTCCCACACCGTGTTCTGCACCCACCACCAGTGGTGCTGCGAGGGAGGGGGTTTGTGTGGGAGGCAAAGGCAGGAGGGGAAGATTGGACGACGAGGGGAGAAGGGGGGGAGGCATAAGGGGTTGGTTGGTGGGAGGGAATAGAGATGTTGCGCAAGAGCCAGTGGTCCTCCTCTATAAAGAGCATGTGGCCGTTGAATGCCTTGGTCTCTGGCAGGCCGTTCCACACCGTGTTCTGCACCCACCACCAGTGGTGCTGCGAGGGAGGGGGTTTGTGTGGGAGGCAAAGGCAGGAGGGGAAGATTGGACGACGAGGGGAGAAGGGGGGGAGGCATAAGGGGTTGGTTGGTGGGAGGGAATAGAGATGTTGCGCAAGAGCCAGTGGTCCTCCTCTATAAAGAGCATCTGGCCGTTGAATGCCTTGGTCTCTGACAGGCCGTCCCACACCGTGTTCTGCACCCACCACCAGTGGTGCTGCGCGGGGGTCAATGGGCGGCGAGAGGTGGAGCAGAAGCGAAACGCGAGGACGAGAGAAGGGGGGATACAGGGAAGGGGAGGTAGATGGGATGCTTGTAAGGGGATAGCTGTGAGAGGTGCAGAGGTGGGGGAACCGAGAAATAGCAAGGTGCCGGATTGACACAGGCCCCACACGCGCACCTTAAGGGAGACAATTCTTGGTTCGCGGTACGATCCGAATCCATCTGCCTGGCCCCAACAGCAGGGCATCCCATCCCACACCACCTCCTCCTCTTCTCTCAAGCCACACCACACCAAACCACGCATCACACCATACCACGACAGGCGCACCTTAAGGGAGACAATTCTTGGTTCACGGTACGATCCGAATTCATCCGCTTGGCCCCAGCAGGACATCCGCTCCCCCACCCTCTCCTCCTCCCCCAACCTCTCCTCCTCGCTCACACCGTCCCTCACACCGTGCCCGAGCCCCAGCCCACCAGCCCCTCCTTTCGCCGTGCCCTCTTCACACAGGACCTGTCTTGGCCATTTACGCTGCCACTTCTCCCACCGCTCAGCTCCTCCTGCTTTGGTCTCCCAGGGCCGCCTTGACTTGCCGCGGCAGTCGTCCGCGGAAGCTGCTGGGAAGGACCCGTTGAAGAGGTGCGGCGAGAAGGGAAAGTATAGCTGCTTGACCCGACAGAAGGAGATGGATTGGACGAGGGCGTGCATGGGCGGGTAGAAGCCGTCGTGACTGGGAGGGGGAGGAGAAGGGATGGGAGGGAGTACGAGGAGAAGGGATGGGAGGGAGTACAAGGAGAAGGGATGGGAGGGAGTACGAGGAGAAGGGATGGGAGGGAGTACGAGGAGAAGGAAGGGGAAGGGAAAGCAGAGCTGCTTGACCCGGCAAAGGGACTTTAAGGGGACCACGTGGTGGGGGGGTTTTATTGAAGCCGCTGTGACAGGGAGAGGTGGAAGGGGGCGAGGGGATGAGAGGAAATAAAAGGCGAGGGGTGGAGAAACAAGAATGCCTATCGGACTGAGAAATAGCTAGTGCATGCTCTCTCATATGACAGTGCGGACCATACGCCATCTAACTTTCGCAACAATAAGACAGATATTTTATCTATTCTCTCACTGTGTCTATCATTCCATTGCTCTTATCGCACCTGACTATAAGCAGGGCGTGCTGTATGCCGTCCACTTTACTCAGAGCATCCAGAGTGCGGTTGAGATACGCCGGCCGGTTGTGCACGAGCAACACAATGACGATGTCATCATCTCCCACTGCTGCCACGTCACCATTTCCCTCTGCTGCCACGTCATCACTTCCCACCGCTGACACATCATCACCTCCCATTACCGCCTTGCTTGCTTTTCGTTGCTTGCCGCGAGCACTCCTCGTTCGAATTGACTTCGATTTTGCAGCAATATGAAAAGGCGTGCGTGGAGGCATTTCATTGGCTGCTGCCAGCTCAGCAGCCCACCGATTGGACGGGGGCCACGTCGCGTTGCTCAGGCGCAGATGCGACCTGCGCCATGTAAAGACAAACCACGCCGCCTCCCGCTGCTTGCGTGCCTGTATCAGCTGCCGCACCCGTGCTTCTGCTAAGAGCAGCGCCTTGCCATTGACGGCACCAGTCATTGCACGAACCTAGGAGGTCCAGAGCGCAGGGTTTGAGGTACAAGGTTGAGTTGAACAAAAGAGGTATTATGAATAACATTGCCTGTGCGCCTGCATCAGTCGGCGAAACTGTACTTCTGGCAAAGAGCAGCGCCTTAGAGGATTCAGAGTGCAGGGTTTAGAGGCATTCGGTTGAAGAGAGGAGGTATTGTGAAAAAACACTGCTTGTGTGCCAACATCAAAGCGGCCCACCGCGCTTCTGCAAAGAGCAGTGCATCGTGAATCTGTTTTTTGAGAATTCTGAAAAAAATCACTTCCTTCACTATACCAGCCATCGCACTTGAAACGCCTGAAAAGAATGTGGCACATACATCATGCATGGCTTACCTCCGATTGCTTGCATCATTCTCAGCTCCCTCTCATAGACCTCGATTGCCAACACTCTCATCCTTCTTTCAGAACAAAACTGAATCATTTCTTAGAGCGTCTGGGGCATGATAGCTCACCTGCGATCGCAGCATTCGTAACTCCCTCTCGTAGTCGTCAACCGCCAACCCGGCGCCGCCATGCTGTTCCCCCCGCCCATATCCTTTTTTTCCTTTCGTTTCTTTCTCAGCAGCAGCAACTCCAGCAACGCTGCTCTCTCGGTAATAAGCCTGCTTGTAGCGGGGATACGCCTGGGGACACCGACGAGGCGTGCTGGCGGCAATACTACTTTTCATGGTGGTACAAGGACTTCCAGGAACAGAACCAGGTAATTGCGGTGAAGCTTCGTCGTCTTTCACTCTCCCACGGAGTGCTCTTCGCTGCCGCTGCGCGTGAGTGACGTCAGCGACAAAATCCAGCTCTCTCGAAACGAGGCTTAGCAATCCCTTGTGTCCATCCGTCCGACCCTGCTGATCTGAGGTTCGAACCAGCGGCGTAACTTGAGGTTCGGCCCGAACCTCTGGCTTGGGTTCAAGGTTGGTTCGACTCAGCCCGGGATCAGACGAGGATTTGGAGCTTGATGAGATGGCGATGAACGGCTGGGATGACGCAAGAGCGTCCGCCATTTCCTCGGGATTGTCGCCCCAGAAGAAGCATCCCATCCATTCCTCGAACGACCAATCAGCGACTGACAACTCGGATTCATCGTTCTCGCTAACAGCTTCGATAGAAGCGTCAAATTCGGACTCGATATTGTCAAGTGAAAGCCACGTTGTGCGTAAAGCGAACGCGAACACGCAAAGGAAGAGCAAGGTTGTACGGCAGAAGCGAATGCGACTGAAACGAGCGTGACTGAAGCGATCGGGCATGCATCGTCGAGTCGCCATGCGGCACTACTACTATGTCGTATACTTGGGTCGACTCTGATAAAAAAAAACTCGTACATTCTGAATTCTGGCATGATGCCGCGACTGTGGACAGCGGATAGGCCTGACGAGGAAGCACGGTCGTTGCGATGATGGAGGCCTCCTGGTGAGGCGATGGTGGGTCGTTTGGAAAGGAGTTGTGCTGGCATGCGGCTAAGATTGATCATTGAACCGGCTTCAACCACTGGTAAAGTGCGACCTACCCGGTCACTGCATCCTGCCATCATGACAAAGCTCACAACAACCTTTCCCGGTTGCGACCTGAAAAGATCGTAAGATGCCTTGGCTGGCTGCGACGTGGCACAACCCGCGAGCGACCTTGGTTGCGACCTGTACAATAGTACTGTAGCCGAGCAAGCATCCACCTCCACACACCATACTGTACAAGCAAGCAGGCACCCGCCCACTCCACCCACCCCACACCTCACTCCCACCCAATTCACCCCACCTCACCGCACTTCAATCTACTCCAACCCACCCCACCCCAACCCTTCCTACCCCACCCCACCCTCCCAAACCACCCCACCCCACCCCACCCACCCACCGACCAAAGGTGCAAAACTGATCGGATGAAGCTCCACGCTTCCCCACTTGGCAATAAAACAATCGATCCTGTAGGCTTCGCGCTCAACTCCCAGAATTGTCTCAAGGCGTGATCGAATCCTGTTGAGACGAACCGGTGTCAGCCTCTGTTCTGTTCCGCCGTCTATGTGTAGAGTTACTGGATTATCTCGCCGCTAATCTGACATTTACTTTTAACTAAATAATCAGATGAAGTGAAACATGGCCAGCCGTTTCTCTTGTAGCACACAGTTCCCGTTTTTCTGGAAAACACGAATCAAGCGATCCTGATCTGGACCCGCTCAGCATACGCCCTTATAGGAGGTAAATCTCCCAGACTGAGATTGCTGTTATGGGGTAACAATATGCAGCGATACTGTACAAGACGCCGATGTGCGAATTGCCTGCACGAAATGCCGCGCGGTTGCGACTGTTACTGATGAAGTCCCATTTTGTTGTGCGAGAAGTTCCACGAATCACTCTGCTGCACTCAGGTAGGTCACCGGAAAAATATTTTGTCGCAGCATGATTATCTGCCCCACATTATTTTCGCGTCTGTTTCGCCAATACACGTATGAATCTGATGGCCTTGTTCTGATATGACACAACAGCAGACGCAGCTGTGTTCAGGTGGGTCAAGAAAACAACCTCAGCGCTTGAATCCCTTCTTGGTGTGTCGCGATAGATCAGTGTTCGAAACCGAGTTACCCTGCCCTTGGCGAATTCGAGTTCAGGAAGAACCTTTGCCATTCAACAATCCAAGTTTCTATCCCAACTCTGTTCGTGCGAAGAAATCATCTGCATCGACACGCCATCGACATTCAGTAGTTTCATCTAAAGTAGTTCCATCCGCTTTAAGTAAAGTAGTTTCATCCGTTTTGTATTCCCGCAGATGGCGGACTCCGCCGCTTCTGCGGCGGCGCAACCCGAAAGCAGCAGCGCTGCTGGAAGCGGCGGCGGCGGCGGCGGCGGCGGGTGCGCGCGGCCGGAGAAGCCGAACACGACGGTGGGGAAGATACGCGAGCACGTGAACGAGTTTATGAGTGCATCCATGGACGAACACAAGGAGTGATTTAAAAACACGCTGGGGAAGGTAAGCAGTGGGGAAGGTGAGTGCTAGGGAAGGAGCGCGCTGGGGAAGTGAGCGCGCACTGGGGAAGGTGCGCAGTGGGGAAAAGGTACCGGGGAGGGTAAGCAGTCAGTTAGGCGTCAGGAAAGGTGTACGCTCAGTTTGGAAGCATGACAGAGGAACTGACATCCTAGCAACAGCTTATCGCTTCTCTGTATTTTTTTTTTTTATTTCAACCCTTCTCATCTCTCTTTCCCCACCTCCCAACCTTCCACCGACATTCCCCTTTTCTCCTCCACCTTCATCTCCCTCTTTTCCTCCACCTTCCCCTCCCGCCTTCCGCTCCCGCCTTCCTCTCCCTCTTTCCTGTCCGGCCTTCCTCTCCCTCTTTCCTTCCCCGCCTTCCTCTCCCTCTTTCCTGCCCCGCCTTCCTCTCCCTCTTTCCTGCCCCGCCTTCCTCTCCCTCTTTCCTGCCCCGCCTTCCTCTCCCTCTTTCCTGCCCCGCCTTCCTCTCCCTCTTCCCTGCCCCGCCTTCCTCTCCCTCTTTCCTGCCCCGCCTTCCTCTCCCTCTTCCCTGCCCCGCCTTCCTCTCCCTCTTTCCTGCCCCGCCTTCCTCTCCCTCTATTCCTCCCTCACCTCCCTCTCCCACTATCTCCAGATGTTTGGGTTTAAAGCGAAGTCCCCAGCGCCGCCCCCTCGCAACGTCGTCATCCCACTGGTCGCTCACACAGGCACTGTACCACCAGACGACACGGCTCTAGACACTGTAACACGGTAAGGCATCCACTTGCGGGCAGTCACACCATTTCTCACTTGGCGGTTGGGGCAGCGGCAGCAGCAGCAGCAGCAGCAGCAGCAACGGCGGCGGCGGCGGCAGCAGCAGCAGCAGCAGCGGCGGCGGCAGCAGCAGCGGTGGCGACAGCAGTGTCTGCTGCAGGAGGGGCTGATACCAGCATGTGACTGCAGCAGCGGACCTGACTGGGTTCCTTTTCACATTGTGCGTGCCAGAGGGACCTTTGCAGTGGAAGAGCAGTAGAGGGAGGTCTGTGTGGCTGCAGCAGAGCAGGAGAAGGGGTGGAGGTGGAAGGGGCGAAGAGCGGAGAGAGCATATGACGGCGGTGGCTTAACCCCCCCCCCCAGGGGCAGCTACAGCCCGACCCGCCACTCCCATGCTTCTTGCTCCCTCAGCCTCCCTGCTCAATCTTATTCCATCATTGTCTCAAAAGTCGTCTCATTTGACATGTTGGGAAGGAAGGGGAGGTGGGGGGGGGACGTAAAGAGCGAGACTGCACATGACGGCTGTAGCTCAAACCCCTCCCAGGGGCAGCTGCAGCCCGACCAGCCACTCCTGCGCTTCTTGTTCCCTCAACCTCCCTCCCTGCCCTAAGCTTGTAGCATTTTCGCTGTGTGCTTCGTAAGTAGAGAGTCGTCCAGTGTACCGGTATTTGTAGGAAAGTCTTTGTGAACTACTCTAGTTGTACCATACGTTGTTTAGTAGCAATGCAGTGCATTGTGGTGGGATGCATACCATTTCTGGACGGACAATGGCTTGCCTGTTAACCACTTCACAATACATACCGTCATACCCCGGATATACCCCCATGGGGGGCAATAATAAAACAGGTTTTTTCAGGGGGGTGGGCTTATTATCGAGTAAATTTATAAGCGCCGGCGTTTATAAAATGACATATATATTTTTTCTATTTTTTAACACCAAACTGTAGATCTCGTGCTTGCCTTTCCAATCGAGTCGAAGTTACATGGGGTCGTCTGTGAAATTCTCGCGCGCGCTGGGAGATACACCCAATCTGACTCACATCCAGCTCCTGACAGCTCCTGACAGCTCCTGCTGACTGGACCCGCATCCAGTGCAGGGTCCGAATGTGAAGGGAACCGAATCTGCAACACATCCGCCTGCTAAAGAAAAAATCGTTACAGCATTTTGAACACATTTCAAAAATTAGTTTACGTGCGCTTATAATAAAACAAGTTTTTTCAGGGGGTGCGCTTATAATCGAGCAGCGGATATAAGCGCCATGCGCCAATTAAAAGCGCCAGGCGCTTATCCGAGGGTGGCGGGGTATGACGGTACCATGAGATTATGTAGCTCCATTGTGCACAAGTGAACAATGATACGGTAAGTGCAGTAAATAGTTAGCTGTCAGGCCTGTCACTGGTACGGTACGGTATATACCGAAGAAAGAAGGGCCATCCCATGTCCCACCCACAGCTCCAATCTTGAGTGGATCATTCAGGCAAGCAGCATAATACCCTACTCCATACAGTTTCAGCATTGGTCCACTCCATCCAGACCAAATATGCACTGGCAGGCTGCAGAGCAAATCAACAGTGCACGATATCATACCCTATCTCACCATATCATATCAGAGAACCAAATGGGACGGATCACAAGGCCTCAAGGAATCCTCAAGGCTACAGAAGCTCCACATACATGCCCACCTATACTTCAGCATACCTAACTATCTCAGATCAGATCAGATCCGCACACAAATGTGCCAGGCTCGGTGGTCTCAAGGTGTCTTCCAAACTGCAAAAGGTGCGTCGCCAGAGCTTCACGGCCTTGGTGCGGTCATGTGCCATCCAGTCGCTGATATCGCTCCACGGCACCGCCCGCGAGTCAAACATCACCACCCGCCACGGCACAAAGAACTTCATCAACCCCTCCTTGAACCACATGTCCACCGCAAACGACGGCGGGATGCGGTGCGCAGGCGCCCACGAAAACCACCCGTAGTAATACGCGTTCAAAAACCTATCCACGGACCCTTCCGGGTATGGTAAAACCGGGAGTTTCGCCACCATGTCTTCGAATGTGGTGGAGTTGGGTTGAAGAACCATCACTCGGGAGGTGAACATGTCCGGAGGGAACACACTCGGCGGGGCGGCAAACGCGTCGTAACTGGTAACCAGCTCGTTACAATTATCAACAAAAAGCGCCACCGGATCGACGTACACAAGCTTGTCAAACCCCTTCTGGTTCCACGCGTGCAGCACGGCGAAAGAATCGTCTAGTTGCTGACCGTTCACCACTATCGGGTCAACCACGCGGACATAGTTGAAGAGCTTACGGTACGGCTGCCAGTGGTCTCTGGGGACCGTGGACAGCACGAGCAAGAGAATCTTCCGGAAGGACGAGAAGGAGTGGTGCTGCAGGTACGATGCCGCCCAGACCCCCGCTGCAAAGTAATTCTCTTTGGTTAAAACAGTCACGAAGCCCTCTCGGCCGATGTATGTTGGCCGGCCGGGAATCACCGGTTCGTGAGACACCGGCGAGGAGAGCAGCGCCGGGGTGGATGGAAACGCGGACGATGCAGTTTGCGCCGCTGCTGCTCCCGCAGCTGCGGCCGCTTCAGCGGCGGCGGCGGAAGCGGCGCGTGCCTTGGCGTGGGAGGGGAGGAGGGAGTCGTACTGGGCGCGGTTGGGGAGGAAGTGCGTGAGGGAGATGGAGGTGGGGTCGAGCGGGTACCAGTCGTTTTCTTCCAGTGCGTGAGCGAGGTACAGCCAGAGCGAGCACCAGAGGTTCACCTTCACCTGTGGGCCGCCGTCTGCTGTTACTACCACCCCTCCTGCCCCTCCTGCTCCTCCTGCTCCCCCTTCGATCACCCCACTAGCAGCTCCTGCTGCTCCTGCTGTTCCGTTCCCGTTCCCTCCTGCTGTCACTGCTTGCAGAGTCGCTGCTGCTGCAGCCTCTACTGCTTCTCGGCTCACCCCGCTCTGACCCGACGTGAGAGACGACGCCAGAGTCGACGACAACGCAGACGACAAACTCCCCCCACCTGCTGCTCCCCCTCCCCCTCCCCCTCCCCCTCCCCCGCCTCCCCCTTCCCCATGTATCCCCACCACCCCCCCCTCCTGCGTCCCGAGCCGCCACGGCTTGAACCAGGGGTTGGCGAAATGGATCATCATGATTGGTCCGTTGAGCGCCTCGTGGGCGGCTTCCACGCGGAACCAGGGCGGCGGGTGGTAGTGGTCGGGGAAGAAGATGACGGCGTTGTACCGCGCGGGCAGGCGGTGCGCGGGCGGCGAGTGGAACCAGCCGGAGAAGTAGGCGTTGAGGAAACCCTGGTCGCCCTTGTTGTAGGATGGGAGGCGGTGCATCTTGCTCATCATGTCAGCGTATGTGGACTGGTGTGGGGGAGGGGGGGAAGAAGAGGGGGGAGGATCGGGGAGGAAAGAGCAAGCAAGTGTGAGAAGTAGGCATTGAGGAAACCCTGGTCGCCCTTGTTGTAGGATGGGAGGTGGTGCATCTTGCTCATCGTGTCGCTGTATGTGGACTGGCGAGAGGAGGGGGGGGAATAGAGGGGGGAGGATGGGGGAGGAAGGAAGGGGGAGGAAGGGGGAGGAAGGGGGAGGCGAGGGGAACAAGTGTAAGAAGTGAGCGCTGAAGAAGCCTTGATCCCATTGGCTGTAGGACGGCAGCCAGTGCTCTTCAACAAGTCGCTGTATGAGGCTTGCTCAGCCGGTGCTCTTGCTCTACGCTTTTGAGACGTCTCAACAAGTCGCTGTATGAGGACTGAAATGATTCCATGTATGGAGGACAGGGTGAGAGGAGGCGGCGGGGGTTAGGGGGGGAGGGTGGAGGAGCGATAGCGGGGATGGGGGGAAGATAAGACAGACTTATGCTTTGTAGTACCTGTGGATGCTACTATCGAATCATTTGGTGTAGGGGATAGGGGATGCTGACAGTCTTTGTGGTTGTTTTTTGAGAATTCTCAAAAAACATACGTCTTTGTGGTTGCTCACATGGGACGGCTTGAGCACGAGCAGTCCACTGTTGAATTTGCTGCTCATGTACACATCCGGCACGGCGGTGGGCTCGGGGTGTTCAAAGAGGTGGTCCAGGTTGGCGAGCACGAGCGTGTCCACGTCGATATAGACCACCTTGTCGTATTCCGTCATCTGCCACGCGTTCAGCTTTGAGAATCCTTTTACTCCGTACCTGATAATGGGCAAACAGACGGGAAAACATGCGGGAGCGGGGAACACGGGGCGTGTGGGGCAGGGGGGAGGTGGGGCAGGGGGGAGGTGGGGCAGGGAGGCGTTCAAAGAGGTGGTCCAGGTTGGCGAGCACGAGCGTGTCCACGTCAATGTAGACCACCTTGTCGTATTCCGTCATCTGCCACGCGTTCAGCTTCGAAAACCCCTTCACGCCGTATCTGGTGGACAGGGAGAGGGAGAATGAGAGTAAGATGGGGTAGGTGCACGTTGAGAGCATGAGGACGAGTGTATCCACTTCGACAGTAAGTCGATTTTTGAGTCAACTCAAAAATCGACGAGCGTATCCACTTCGACAGTAAGTCGATTTTTGAGTCGACTCAAAAATCGACGAGCGTATCCACTTCGACAGTAAGTCGATTTTTGAGTCGACTCAAAAATCGACGAGCGTATCCACTTCGACAGTAAGTCGATTTTTGAGTCGACTCAAAAATCGACGAGCGTATCCACTTCGACAGTAAGTCGATTTTTGAGTCGACTCAAAAATCGACGAGCGTATCCACTTCGACAGTAAGTCGATTTTTGAGTCGACTCAAAAATCGACGAGCGTATCCACTTCGACAGTAAGTCGATTTTTGAGTCGACTCAAAAATCGACGAGCGTATCCACTTCGACAGTAAGTCGATTTTTGAGTCGACTCAAAAATCGACGAGCGTATCCACTTGGACAGTATGTCCCTTACCCTTTCACCCCCCTGCAAGCACACTAAGCCCAACCCTGAGCTTTGACTCAAGGGTACTACTACTACTCACAGGTTGGTGACTGTCGGCACGCGACGCACATGACCAAAGTGCTGCTGCTGCAGCAGCAGCAGCGGCGGCGGCGGCGGCGGCAGCACCCAATCATTAGCACTCATGTTGTGTGCGTTGCCATCCACCAGGAGCACCAGGTCATGCGCCATGCCTGTCAGCCGAACCAGCTGCCCTGACTGTCCAACCCCTTGGGTCAGTGCAGCAGGCAGGCAGGCAGCAGCAGGCCAGCAAAGGAGCCCAGAAGCATGGTATAGCCGCAGAACCTTTGACATCCCTCACAGCACACAAAAGCACACATTTACCAGCACTCACGGGTTAGCAACGGTGGGAACACACACACACTCACCCCATTTTTTGAGTCGACTCAAAAAACGGGTTAGCAACGGTGGGAACACACACTCACCCCACCCTGCCTTTGACTGAACGGATAGTGATACTCACGGGTTGTTGACAGTCGGCATGCGCCGAACGTGGTCAAAGTGGAGCAGCAGCAGCCTGTCGTTCACATTCACGTCATGTGCGTTCCTACCCACCATGAGCACCAGGTCATGCGCCGTGCCCGTCAGCCTGAGGGACTGCCCCGTCCAACCCCCTTAGGCTTTCAAGCCCCCTGCAAACGCAGTCACCCCAACCCTAGGCTTTGACTCAAGGTTAGTACTACTACTCACGGGTTGTTGACAGTCGGCACGCGCCGAACATGGTCGAAGTGCAGCAGCAACAATCGATCATTTACATTCACATCATGCGCGTTCTCATCCACCATGAGAACCAGGTCATGCGCCGTGCCCGTCAGCCTGAGGGACTGCGCGTGGGCCAGCGCAGCGGGCAGCAGGTCGGCAGAGGCGACGAGTGTGGTGTAGGCGTAGCGCTGCTCCACCACCACTCGGTGCAGCCCCGCTGCCCTCGCTGCTTGCATGCGCGTCAGAGCACGGTCGTCGCAATGAATCATGTACCCGAACTTGTCGCAAAACACCTGCACAGAAGTTGGGTGGTGGATGAGGGGGAGTGCGGAGGGGGGGGCGGGGCAAGGGTGGAGGGAAGAAAGCGGGCAAGGGGAAGGGGAGGAGAGAGATGGAGGGATGGAATACCGACAGCTTTCTAGAATTCTCTAAATCAGCCTGCAAAACCAAGGGGAGGGAGGGAGGGTAGGAGGAATGGAGGGGTGCAATACTGCCAAACAGAACACCCGCCAGCGTAAATTGATGAACGCGCCTCAAAAGAGAGTCGAGGGGAAAGTTGGGGGGAGGGGGGAGGGGATGGCGCAGTCCAGAGCGGTTTGTTCGCTTCGCTGCTTTGAACCGCCACGATACATGAGATGTAAAAGAGCTACGTGTGACCCGCCCTTAACTCCTTGCCGCATGTACCTTAGATCCTTAACTCCTCCCACCCCTCCCACCCCTACCCTCCTACCTCTCCCCTCCCATCCCATCCATCCCCCCACACTCTCCACAGCATCCGCGCCACTCACTCACCATCTCTTTCACGTCCAACTCGCTTTGGAGTAACTGTATCTTAACTCCATGCCGCCCCACAAATAGTGACTGTTGAGTCAACTCAAAAGTCCCCTCCCACCCTTCTTACTCCTCCCATCCATCCGCGCCACTCACCATCTCTTTAACATCCGGCGTCGCCTTGGAGTAGCTGTATCGTAACTCCATGCCGTCCCACAGCCGCTGAAACGCGCCGATGCACCCGCCGCGGTCCTTCTTATGCCCGGCGCGCGCGCTCAGCCCCACGTCGCTCAGCTCCTTCTCCGAGTTCCGCGTGTCGCCCCAATCCCGAGGCTTTCCGTCCACCAATAGCGGCCCGACTTTCGCGCGCTGCGAAACGACGAAGTTCATCGCGATGTCTTCGCAATTCTTCCCCGAATCCACGTACTCCTTGACCCCCTCCGGCGAGTGACACGTGTACCGAAATAGGTAATCCGCATGCAGTATAAACAGCTTCGTTAACACTATAGAATAACGGTCCTCGCGTTTGGTGTACACCCATCCTTTCTCCTCCAGACTGTACACGTGCGCGCGCGGGAAAAAGCCTACGAGCCGCTGCTCGTTCTCCCCCCAAACCCGGAGCGCGAACTCGAGCGTCTTATCGTCAATCGTGATGTCATCGTCGCATATAATCACCGCTCGCGTGCGAATGAACTTTCGCGGAAGGAACCGGTCGTTCAGGCTGTCAGAGAGCTGCCTAACTATGTGAATCTTAGAATCCGGACCGCCCACGCGAATCCCACCGCCCGATCCGTGATTCCCGCCGGGAATGCCGTCCTCTCTTTCCTGCGTGGCGATTTTTCCGGCTCGCTCAATCGCCGCCGCCGCCGCCGCTGCCGCTCCTTCCCCGCCCGACCCGTCATCCCACCACCCCAAATCCCCCTCAACCACGGAGAAAGGCGACGACACGTTTCCCCATAAAACATAAATAGCGTCCACTAACGGGCTCTCCGCGTAAATCTGCAGCGTTTCCTGCAGCAGCGGGATTCGCGCTTCGGCGTACCCATTAATTAGGATGGTCACCGAGTCGGCCTGTAACGCCTGCGTTGGCGGGTAGCGCTTCCTGTTGCAGATTTCCGGACCGAACTTCTTAACTACGTACGGGTCTACTGGCTCGCCAGGATCTAAGATTCGAAAACCGCCTGTTATTGTACCGGGTAGCGGGGCAGCTGGAGCGGGTACGGTTACGGGAATGGGTTGCGGGCAGTTGCAGTGGGGAGAGACGAGGCGCCAGATCAGGAGGAAGCCGCAGAGAACGGCAATGGACCACGAGGCGCAGGTGGAGAGTTTTAAGTCTGCGAAGCGCTTCGACTTGCCATAACGCGTATCGAGTGTGAAAGATCCCGCTGACGAGGATCGACTGATCATTGTTTTAACGGTCGGTCAGATCGGCGGCTGTTGGACGAAGAGGCCGGGCCGCGATGGACGGTTTCGAGTGAAATATTGCGATTGCGAAGCGAAAACTGGGATGTTTCACAAAAGGTTACGTCCGGAAAGCAGGTGGCGGAACCCCCGCGACTTAGAGCTGAAATAAAGTGCATATGCTCCCTGGTTACGCTATAGGCGGAGTGGAGGAAAGGAATAAAGCGAACAGGAACAACAGGAGCAGTGGGAGTCGCAGGCTCCTGTGATGTTCTTGAAAGCTTGCATTATGATACAGTATGTGCTTCTGCATTGGGAAGCGATCAAAAAGGGGCCCCGGAGTAGCAGTAAAGTGACCGACTTGGGGCCTGGTGAGTCGCGCCCCTACCTCGTACGCCTGAAGCAACCAACACGCCTGGGCTGCTAGGCCGAGCCTGGCCTTCTCGCCAGGTCACCACCTACTGGCCTGGGGTTGACGGAACTCGCTAGCGACTTGTCAAACCATTACACAGTGGGTAGTAAAAATACTTATGAGTAATTACCCAGAAAAACATTCATTTAACAAAAAAAGAAGAACATCGCAATTTACAAAAATAAATCCCATTCGGATGGCATATAATTGGGGAAGCATCAACCCTAAACACCATGCGACAAGATGTTTAGGGCTGAGGCCCCTTCGAAGGCATGACGCACGAGAGGATTTTTAAATATCGAGTCAATGTTTTCGATGCGTCAAGGAAGAATTCGTCACCTTGTGTGGTCAGGTCTGACGGTGCGCGTGGATGAGGCCCGAAATTGGCTGGCCACAGGTCCGGCCCAGGCTCGACGTTTTGCGACACACAAGGCCCCAAGCTGGCAACTTTTCTAGAGCTCTGGGGCCCCATTCTGATCAGTTCCCTTCTGCATTTGATGCAGCAGAAACACGACACAACGAAGAGAGTGCCTCCTGAAGCTGAAGTGGTTTGGTAGGTGGGTGGGTCGGTCGGTGAGCTGAAGCGTTGACGTTGACGACGTCAAGGAATACCTAAAAATCTCGTCTGCCTAACAGCAAGAAGGGATGAATGCTTAAAGCGACGGGCAACTTTTGGCAGTGTTGGGTTCAGAAGTTTTTTTTTTTGAACCAGGCTTGCCAGCGCGAAAGTGCTGGCTGGCGAAAACCAGGATTTCGTGCGGACACTTTCCATCCGCAGTAACAGTTCGCCAGGGTTCTGGGTTTTGGGTGGCAAATGTGCACCGTCGCTTTAATAGATTTTGTTGGCCAATGAAACACAAATGCTTAAATCTGAAACAACACGCTCTGTATCGAGGACACATTTCCGAGACCTAGAAGATCCTCTTGACCAATCATAGTGGCTAGAACTAGGATAGCTCCACCTTTCCATCCACCTCCACAAAGGCCTCGTCGCCGAAGTGTTTCGCCGTTTGTTCATCAACTCCTAAATCGGACATTCCAGCAATCACCCTAAAATCACGCATGTCGCGAATGCTACTGGTCAACCAGCCACCATCCATGCATTTCTGGTTCTTCGCACCTCCAAGCTAGAATCTCGCCTGAATTCATTCCCTCCCTACCTTGCTCACTTGTTCCACCATTGCAGCTGGTTTAGTTTCCATTCCACAAGCCAAGGTTCTCCCCTGCAGGCCATTTGGAAAAGTAGTTTTCAGACACACCGTGGGACAGGTAGGTGCTAGCTCCGCTGTCAATCACCCCTGCTTTACGTTCCGCCGTTTGCCTGTATTAGCAACTTGACTGTTAGGCAGTGTACCTCGATGGATATCTTGAGAGGAAATGTGGTGTCGCGGCAGATTGTGGTGAACAGGTCATTTTCGACGAACTTCCAGCAACCGAAATCTTCATACTTGCACTGCAGCTCCCTACAAGGCTCCTCCTTTCTTGTCTCCCAACGATTTCCTTTGTCCGGATCCAGCCAACTTACCGCCTTCGTCGGTCTTGAATCAACCAGCACTAGAACTGCTCATTCGACCGTTACATGCTCCGCCTCTCCATCCTCCTCCTCTTCCAGCAAATCGTCTACCACTAAGACGCGTCGCCTTATACTGCTTCGCCACGCAAAGAGCTCCTGGGATGACGCGTCCTTAATCGATCACGACCGTCCTCTCAGCAACCGCGGGAAACACGGCGCTAAGAGCATCGCTAAGAAGCTCGCGCGGGTCGGCTGGGTCCCGTCCTTAATCCTCTGCAGCGACGCCACCCGAACGCGCGAAACTCTCGAAATCATGCGGAAAGAGGAGGACGGGTTCGCGGAAGCGAAGGCGAGGTTTCTCGGAAGCTTCTACACCGTGGCAGCCATGGACGGCCAGACGGCGCGGCACCTCCACGAAATTGTCGTGCAATTGGCTCCGGATTCCGCGGACACGGTGATGTGCATGGGGCATAACCGCGGGTGGGAGGAGGCGGCGAGCGAGTTTTGCGGCGAGTGGGTGGAGCTAAAGACGGCGAACGCGGCCCTTCTGGAGTCGAAGCGGCCGCACGCGGATTGGGGGACGGCGTTCGGCGATGGGTGGAAGCTGGTGAAGATAGTCAAACCGGATGAGAAATAGAAGAAGTAATAGATGATGAGGGGTGGAGGAGGAGATTGCATCAGGGGTGTTGCTTCTGATTCGACTCAAAAGGCACCTCGGGTGGAAGCTGGTGAAGGTGTGGTCAAGCCGAACAAGAGAATTAGAAGTAGAAGCCGTGCAAAGGGACAAAGGGTGGTGAGGTGCAACGCGTGGCACCAGCCGAACGAGAAGTTGAAGCAGTAGCAGAATGGTGGAGGACCAGGTTGCATCAGGGGTTGCTAGTAGTGCGGAGGTTCAGGAGCAGCTCAGTCTAGGAGGGGTTGGGGCAAAGGGGATGTGGACCAGGACAGGGGTTACGGGAACAAACTGCTGACCATACTAGGCGTGCAGTAGAGAAAAAATAGATGGAGAATCTGGAGGGAATCGTAGCGGGTGTATGGCAGTGGAATGGGAGAGGAGCAAAAGGTGTGAGATTTGGGGCAATAATGGGAAGAACATGTGGTGGATTTGATCATGGGACAGGCCTAGATGCTGCTGGGTTGACGTGGTTGCTGCTGGCATGCTTGATACCGTAGCTTGGCCATGGACCGGCACGGTAAGGCACAGCGTTCTGACAATGATTTGGTTCCATGATTATTTGAGAAAATTCTGACTTCGAATTGAAGCAAGATTTGTTCAGTGAAGCAGCTAATGTTCAGCTTTGCATGTGATAATACACTGCTATGGCATGAAAGACTCTACTGTGCCTTACGATTGCACAAAGCTTATCCAGTGCAGTATATCCTCATTACAGAAGCATCAGCAGCCAGCGTCAGACATCCACTTAGTTAGCATAACCACACACCCTCTTGATGGCTCAGGCTTCAACCATGGGTTCTCCTCCTGACGAGCTGGCAGCTTGTAATTGGGCCCTATCCGGCTTGCTTGCTGCTGCAACCGAGTTGAACAAAAGATCTTTCATCACCTGATCCAGCCAGGGTTTAGTATGTAGGGTTTGGGAAGAGATGAAGAGTGGGATACTGAAAGGAGGGAACGTGTAGGTGGGGCTCAGTTCACTTCACTCTGCGAGAGGAGGATGTGGGAGATAATCCATTTGGCTGGCTACAGGAGCACTGCATGCAATCACTACATTCATCTGGCATATACTGCATTGTCATGGCATTATCTACCTTCACTCGAAACATGGGTCCATGCAGTTGCTACACCCAAGTGCTGATGTCAGCATGGCATGTAACACCTTTCACCTATGATGTGAAGGGTGGCATGGCATGGCAGCACGACATCACCCTCACCTGCGACATGCGCCCATACAGTTGCGCTGCTGCAATGCAAATGCTGATGCCAGCATGACGTCAGTCACACCTGCCACATGAGACTATGGTGCGACTGCTGATGTCAGCATGACATCACCCTCACCTGCGACATGAGCCCGTGCAGTTGCTCCGCGGTGATGCGAGTGCTGTCCCTTGTGGACCGACTCAGAGGCGACTCCTCCTGTGCATGCAGCACCTCTGTCTCTCAAGCCACCGGGACATCCGCAAATGCCAATGTCAGCATGACACGTGTGTGCGTCTCACCTGTGACATGAGCCCGTGCAATTGCTCCACGGTGATGCGAGTGCTGTCTCTCGTGGACCGACTCAGTGGTGACTCCTCCTGTGCACGCAGCCAGGCTCACAGCATTCAGTTCAGAGAGAGTCAGCCGTCAAAAGCAGCACATGGCAGCGCAAGGCAGTGGCGCAGGTCGAGAAAACACACCAGCTAAATAATAATAAGAACAATAATTAATAATAATGATTATTATAATAATCTTAATAATAAAATCACAAAAGATTGCAGCCAAAGCACCACAAGCGAGCACTGGCCTACTTTCAGAATCATTTGCAGGCCACAGACTGCCCCCTCCACTCACCTCCTTGCGCCACTGTGGCGGCATCAGAAACCAACCCCCCCATGCGTCCTGAATGCGCCAGCTGTCCCTCTGCCTGACCTTGACCTGCTTTTGAGAATCACTCGCAGCACAATATCTTCGCCCCACACTCACCTCCTTCCCCATTCCTCTCACCTCCTTGCGTCGCTGTGGCGGCATCAGAAATCCCCCTATACGCCCTGAATGTGCCAGCTGTCCCTCTGCCTGCTCCAGCTTCTCCGCTGTGGATGGGAGGGTGGGGGGAGGTGGAAGATACAAGTGAAGTTGAAAGGCTGAACATCCCAAATGAAGGGAGATCCCGCCACGTAGTTGCAAATGGCAACGAGTTGCGAGGAGGAGAGACTGTGGCCTTTTCACTGAAGTCAATAGAAACTGCAGCGCACCAGGTCTTATACCGACCAGATTCAGGAATCAGGAGCGCCCGCAGCATACCCACATCAGAGATTTTTTCCTAGATTGCCCGGCGAAGTAGTCTCCGTTGGCGAGGAGCAGCGAGGAGGAGAGGGTGTTGGCTTCTGGCGGCAAACCCACGTCATACAAACAAATAGGTCGAATTTACACCAACAGCCAATCCCCCATCTTACCCAGGTCAGAGATCTGCCCGGCCACATAGTCGCGGTTGGCGAGGAGCTGTGAGGAGGAGAGCGTGTTGACCCAGTACTTGTTCCACAGCAGGTCGAGCAGATGCGAGTCGAGCGATGACTTGAAGTATGTGATGTCCAGTGAGTATTACTGTGAGGGGGGGGGGGGGGAGGAGGGAGAAGGGAGGAGGGAGAAGGGAGGAGGGCAGTGTGTGTTGACCTAGTACTTGTTCCACAGCAGGTCGAGGAGATGCGAGTCGAGCGACGACTTGAAGTACGTGATGTCTAACGAGTAGTTCTGTGGACGGGTGAAGGGGGGGAGCGGTGCAGGATGGGGGATGCGGGACAGGGGGATGCGGGACAGGGGGATGCGGGACAGGGGGATGCGGGACAGGGGGATGGTGAAAGAATGCTCTCAAGGGGCTGCTGGTAGAAAGGGGGATGGTGTGTCGACCCAGCAGTACTGTGATGTTCCTTGGAAGCTTGGGTATCTAGGGGGTTTAGGGTTGGAGCGAATAAAGGAGATGAAGGGCGTTGCCGTGGAGTGGAGTGACTGTTGAGATGCTTTCAAGAGCCGCCTCGGGAAAGGGACTGGCGAGTGACAGCGGGTTGCGATTCTCAGAGAGTCGCCACACTTTAGTGAGTTTGATTTCAGATAGTAATATAAGAGGACAACAAGCCAGGACGCCCACGCATGAAACCAGCTGTTAGAGACATGTGACAGCCGTAGCAATGACCTTGAATAAGGGTCTCATGCAATGCAAGCACCATCCTTCTCACACCCCTTCCACCTGCCCGCACAGCATGTGCTCAACTACCCACACTCAACCGCCCACACTCAACCGCCCAGACCGCATGTGCTCACCTGCTTGCAGTGCACGCCAAAGTCCTCAATTTTGTTGAGCGGGATGGTTTGATACTCCGATGGCGGCTCATCTGGCGGCTTGTACCCCTTGGGGTACGTGCGGAACGCCCCAATCTCCACCTGGAGGACAGGCAGGAGGGACAGGCAGGAGGGACAGAGGGGGAAAGGTTGATTATTGCGTCAGCTCATAAATCTGGCGGCTTGTACCCCTTGGGGTACGTGCGGAACGCCCCAATCTCCACCTGGAGGACAGGCAGGAGGGACAGGCAGGAGGGACAGAGGGGGAAAGGTTGATTATTGCGTCAGCTCATAAATATGGCGGCTTGTACCCCTTGGGGTACGTGCGGAACGCCCCAATCTCCACCTGGAGGACAGGCAGGAGGGACAGGCAGGAGGTACAGAGGGGGAAAGGTTGATTATTGCGTCAGCTCATGAATCTGGCGGCTTGTACCCCTTGGGGTACGTGCGGAACGCTCCTATCTCCACCTGGAAAGCAGGCAGAGAGGAACAGACGGAGAGGGTGAAGGCAAAAAAAAAGAAAAAAAACGGGAAGAGAGGTTAAGAGACAGAGAGATTGCTGGAAGGACCATGGTGTTTTTGAGACGTCTCAAAAACAGTTTATTATCACATGGTGTCCCCCGCTCTCAGCTCTTGCACGCCATAACTGCCTACTCCACGGGCGGGGGTTTCTCCTACGAGAGGGACGAGCTGCTGGGAGACTTTTCTCAAGGCGGCGCTCAGCTTGCATATTTTTTCGCGAGCTGCCCGGCGCGCATCTGTAACCGGTTCTGCTATATTATCACTCAAGTGCAGCTTCATCTCCTTTGCAATCAAGAGCAGTGCCTCATTACTGATAGCGTCTGTGCGGTGCTGAGTCAGCACGCCCTCGTGCACGCCAGGCAGCTCGCGAAAAAGATGCAAGTTGAGCGCCGCCTTGAGAAAATAGTCTCCTAGCAGCTCGTCCCTCTTGTAGGAGAAACCCTCGCCCGTGATGATAGCTTTTACCAAAACGTTACATAACCTTTTTGGCAAACGCCAACACATTAAAAAACGAGGGGAATTTTATGCTGGACCTGTTTTTTGAGAATTCTCAAAAGTGTTAGTGCTGGTGATAGCTGCCCAGCCAGCACTACCTGCTTTCCATCTCTGCTCCCCAGTTCTGAGAATTTTCAAAACGCATTCCACATGTCCACCTACTTCCGCATGCCCTACTGTCCCCCTCTTCTTCATGAACCCTGCCCTGCCGTACCTTTCCAGCGGACATGGTGTGCGTGAGGTCAATAACGACAGCGAGGAAGGGCTCTTGGAACTCCTGGTTGAGCATCTGCGCCGCACAACTGTTGCAAACCCATTCTGTGCCCTGCCCTGTCCTCCAATGCCCGCCCTGCCCTGTCCTCCAATGCCCGCCCTGCCCTGCCTTCACCTCCCCTTCCCTGCCGTACCTTGCCAACGGACACGGTGCGCGTGGGGTCAATAACGACAGCGAGGAAGGGATATGGTTTCCTATACGCCCTGCCCTCCATTACCCTCCCTAACCTCCATTGCCCTCCCTGCTCTCCATTGCCCTCCCTTCCCAGCCTTCACCTCCCCTGCCCAAGCCCACCTTGCCAGCAGAGACGGTGCGCGTGGGGTCGAGGACAACAGCGAGGAAGGGCTCCTGGAACTCCTGGTTGAGCATCTGCGTTGCACAACTCCTGCAAACCCATGGTGCGCCTGCGCCCTGCCCTGCCCTCCCCTCCCTCACTTTCTCTGGGATTTCTCATCCAGCCCACCGTAGCCGTACCTTGCCAGCAGACACAGTGCGGGTGGGGTCGATGACAACAGCGAGGAAGGGCTCTTGGAACTCCTGGTTGAGCATCTGAGTGGACACGTCGATGCCTGAAAGCCAGCACCCGTACCCCGGATGGGAGTGGTACCACCCCACCACGTTCTCCAGCCGCCCCGCCTGCGGATAGCAGGAATGGGAGAGGACAGGGGAGTGGAGGATGCGCGGAGATTGGGTTAAGGGGCGCCAGCACCCGTACCCTGGATGCGAATGGTACCACCCCACCACGTTCTCCAGCCGCCCCGCCTGCGGTTGGTAGGAGGAAGTGGGGATGGGGGAAAGGGGTGGGTGTGGAGGATGGGGGACAGAGGAAGCATAACCAGCAAATTACGGGTGCGCAAGTGGCACCACCACCCCACCACGTTCTCCAGCCGCCCGCCTGTGGCCAGTGGCTGAGGGAATGGGCGCGTGGGGAGGCGATTTTTGAGTCGACTCAAAAATCGCCTCATCACATCCAGTGGGTGAGGGAATGGGCGCGTGGGGAGGGTGCAGGAGAGTGGCTAACCATGTCCCTTTCAGGCCTCTCATGACCTTAGATACGTTCTGAGATGCCCCTTTCTAGCTCTTACAAAACCTGAAAACGCAATCTGGGTCTGGGGCACGTTGACCCTGGTTTACACAGGCATGAAGGAATGGGTTACCAGTAATTTACCCTCTTATTTGTCTGGGTGAACTCCACCATGTACTCATACGCCTCCGCCTGGGCATTGACTCGAGTCTCAGTGCCCTCCACAGGCAGTGCAAGGGTAACCTACAGCTTACCCTCTTATTTGTCTGGGTGAACTCCACCATATACTCGTACACCTCAGCCTCGGCATTGACTCTGGTCTCAATGCCCTCCACAGGCAATGCAAGGGTAACCCACTACTTACCCTCTTATTCGTCTGGGTAACTCCACCATGTAAACGTACGCCTCAGCCTGAGCGTTGACTCGGGTCTCCGTGCCCTCCACAGGCAGTGCAAGGGTAACCTACTACGTACCCTCTTATTTGTCTGGGTGAACTCCACCATGTACTCATACGCCTCAGCCTGGGCGTTGACTCGGGTCTCCGTGCCCTCCACAGGCAGAGCAAACGCGTCCATGACTATGATTGTGCCGTCCACCACCTTGCCTTGCATTATGCCCATCACCTGCCGAGGGAAGGGACGGAGTTAATGGGGTTGATTATATCGGGGGTGATTATATCAGAGTCAAGGCGTCCATGACTATAACTGTGCCGTCCACCACCTTGCCCTGCATTATGCCCATCACCTGCCGAGGGGAAGAGGGGAAAGAGTTTACTTGCCTTATAACGGGCCTGCTTGTAACAGACCAAACGCGTCCATGACTATGATTGCGCCGTCCACCACCTTCCCCTGCATGATGCCCATCACCTAGCGAGGGAAGAGACAGGGTTAATGGGGTTGGTTATATCGAGTGTGATTATATCAGAGCCAATGCGTCCATGACTATGACTGTACTGTCCACCACCTTGCCCTGCACTGCATGATGCCCATCACCTGCAGTGCAGAGGGAGGTATGCAGGGGGATCACATGGGCCGTTTGTATCAGATCAGAGATAATGCAACGCAAAAGTGTCCATGACTATGATCGTGCCGTCCACCACCTTGCCTTGCATGATGCCCATCACCTGCCATGGGGAAGGGACGGGCTTAATGGGGCTGCTTATAACGGGGGTATGTGTTAAAGATTAGTTTAAGATTCAAAGCGTTCATGACAATAATTGGCCTGTCCACCACCTTTTATTGCTCTATGCCCATCACCTACCATGGGAAAGGGACGACATCACTAAACTTGCGTATAACAGGCCTACTTGTTACATCAAATCAAACCCAATGCGTGAATGACGGCGATCCCGCGTGGCGTTCTTTGGTGCGCGGATTCCGCAACAGCACGGCCGCGCAAATGCGCCTTTAGAGGCGCCTCAATAGACGGATTCTGCAACAGCACGGCCGCGCAAATGCGGTCGTCGTAGCTCTCAGTGCTGAGCATCCCCCTCATCAGTGCGTTCAGGTTCAGGTGCACTGATTCTCAGGCGCTCTCTTGGGTGCTGCGTGCCTTCATTTCACGGCCCCTCGTCTCAAACGGTCCGAACTGTAAGTCAGCTAAGGTGACTTTTGAATCGACTGAGATGACTTCTGAGTAGACTTAAATATGACCAGGAATTCTGCTTTCTTGGGCAGTGTGAGTCACGAGTTCAGCGAAGACGGATATCACCTCGAGTTTGTAAGCATGTAGAGGTATCAATCACGCACCTCGATCGTATCCCCCGATCGCGCGTGCACGACCATTTTCAGCAAAGCAAGCGCGGAGATTCGGACGTTCTTGAAATAGTGCGGGTCTTTGGTCCATGGTTTCTGCGACAGCACGTCCGCGTGGATTCTCTCGTCGTAGCGGTAGATCGTGTCCACGTCAGCGGACGCCACCGGCTCGATTCGATTCTCCAGCTCCCATGTCTGCCGTGCTTGTAACGAGTCCATGGCGAAACGACCAGAAACACGAGCCTGAAGTAACAAGGATAGGAGGAAATAGTGCTCGTCGTATACGAGAATCTAGCGCAAAACCGCTACGAGAAAACTGTTCGAAAGAGCTTGAGGTGTGAATGAAGCTCTCTATCCAAGCCTGATTCAAGGATGCTATGCTTGAATTGAAATAGTGCGGGTCAAGGATGTACGCAATACAACAATAGAGGGTTCAAACGTGTATCAGGCGGAAAGTTCAAACGTGTATCAGGCATTATCGACTCATTGCAACTAAACCTTATTAGTAGAGGCTTCCCTAACTGAAACTGTTATTTCCAGATACATACCGGTACATGCAAGGACAACATATCGATATGTTATTGAGTGGATTACAGGTTGTCTAGAAACATTGTTTATCCCACGTTCCCTACCCTCCCACAACCTGCCTAAACCTACCTAACCCCGCCACTTCTTTGCCAGCCCCTCTTCCTTGGCTGTGGTATGGCTTTCTGTTCCCTCCTTCCGCCCCTCCCACCCAGCTACCCTCAAGACCAGCACCACAGTCTCTCGACAATATGCATATATTCTCTTCACTTCAATCTCCCTCCCTCAACGATTAAACATAAAAAATCCTCCCCTCTCCCAGACCAACATCCCTTGCTCCTATCAAATCGCCCCCTATCCACCAAAGCCCTCACTAGCCCCTCTTCCCAGTTCCCCCCCACATTCTCCACATCCCCAACTAGCGCAACTCATCCCAAGTCCGCCGTATCATGCTCGCGTGCCCTCCACGCCCTGTTCCCATCCCCTGGACATATTTCCCTTCCTTTCCTGCGCTCAATTTGCATTTCCGAAATCTCGCGTCGCCTCCCAAGGGAATCACTTGCCGCCTTTCTTGCCCTTGGGAGTCTGGGGCGGCGTTTTGATCGCCTGATAGTTCTTCTGGCTCTCCGCCGCCGCCTCATCGGCGAGTTTCTGGAGCTCCGCTTTGATGATTGGCCAGAAATTCTCCTTGAAGAACTTCGCCGCTTGCACAGCGTCAATCACGTGCCCGCTTCCGGGCAGCAGGGCGTTCAGAGCCGTCTTGCCAATCTTCTTTGCCGCTGCTATGGCCACCTTTTTCTGATTCTCAGGGTCCTTCGCCTCCTTCTTCGCCTTCTCGAACGCTTCCTTCGCGATCGCAACTGCCTTGGCGCGCATCTCCGCCGTGACTTGAATCTTGGGCGACTCGGCTTTCACGTAACCCGCGGGCTTGGAGGCCTTGCTGCCCAGAGCGCGCCGATTACTAGCACTACCGCGGTGGCTGGGAAGAGCAGAGGCAGCCGAGAGGCTCAGCGCGAAGGCCGCGAGAAAGGTGAGAAGAAGGACGTGACGGAGAGCCATGTCGGCGGAATGGATGGATACCAGGCGGTATCGCGGATGAGTAGAAAGGTAATCGTACTAAGCTGTTAGATGTCCGGAGGATTTTTGGACAAATGCACCTGACGAGTTGAGAGGTAATAGTAGGCTATTGGAGATGTTGATCAAATTTTGTGCTGAGAGTCGAAGTTCCTTCTATTAAATACTATTGTGTGCTGCCACCTGTGGGGTAACTGCGAAGGGAGGCCGAATCGGCTGCAGTAGTAACGTGGGCTCGTACCTGCCGCACGAGCGACCGAATAATTGTGAATATTCCGACAGTGGCATCGCAGCTTATTACAACATATGCCAAGCGCGACCGCAGCGAGCGCTACTACGCGAGCCATGAGCTTCTCTAGTGCGGCTTGAAATAATGGCGTAAAAACGGCTGGAAACTACTACTTCAGCGCGAGTGGAGCAGCGTGAATTTCAGTTTCTGCTGATTGTTGACCGAATTGCGAGCTGTATCGCCACAAAACATGCAGCATCCCACAGAACCGTAATAGAACGTACACCCATACGAGACACTCTGATTGGGAACGCATCCTCCCGCGAGACGCGGTGGGAGTTTCGATTGGGGCAACGCCAGTCTGGTTCTGCTTCCTCCCATAATGATCCTCCACGTGGGTGTGACGAAAAGTGCTCCTGATGCAAATCTGGTCGGTCGGACAGAAGTGAGTTCAGCATGTATCCTTTATACAGCAACTCGATTGTGTACGTAAACATATCGATTGTGAAATGTGACGCGTCCTAACAAACCTTTGACAGCGAGAAATCCATGGCTCAAATCCCCTTCACCTGGTCCGAGGATTTCCAGCTAGTTCTGTCCGCTCCTATGATCCCTCCCTCGCCCAATACCCCTCCCTCGGTCGCGCCCCTCAATCCTCGTTGGAGCTTCATTCGAACTCGCAAATAAGGCGCTCGTGTTAACGCGTGGCGGCTCACGCGTGTTAGAATTTGAACTGTTTGAATAGGATCGTAGTCTTAGGATAGTAGCTTCCTGTAGCAGTGGAAGTCTTTATATGAGTGACTTGTAACAGGATCAAAGGTCTCTGAAATCAAGTATATTATAAAATGACAAGCATACAGAATATATAACTAGACTAAAGTACCTGTTCGCCTACTGTGCTGTATTTATTCGCGCTATTCCTGTTCTGAAAAGGTACGTGACTATTCGCGATACCTACAGCTACTGATGACGTCATCCTAGGGCGCGTAGCGCTTTGCTGACGTCAGTCTATCGGTACTTTTACTGTACTAACTATACGAATTCCTTGAAGTGCATAAGTCTCGACATTATCTCAACACTCCCCTTCACTTCTAGGAGTTCGGTGTAGTCACCCTGTTGACTCGGAAATGCCACTGAGCTGGTTGCAGTGATGAAATTTCTGACGTGACAGCTTCTTAGTAAGCGAATCAGCGGCCATGTCGCTGGTGGGGCAGTAGACAAGGCGCATTCTCCCCTTGTCGATCGCGTCTTTTACGAAGAAGTAACGCAGCGAAATATGCTTCGTGCGATTGACGAAACCAGGCTTGTTGGCGATGGTAATTGCACTCTGGTTGTCGCACTGCAACGTGAACTGATTCGGCGTGACGAATTTTGCTTCGTCAAGTAACTCCTGCAGGTACAGACCTTCGCGAGTTGCAGCACAAGCGGCGATGAATTCTGCTTCAGCCGATGAAAGTGACACCAGTTCCTGTTTCGAGGAATTCCAGGAAATCGGACCAATCGGCTCAAGAGTAACGAATTTTTGTCAAGCACTGCAGCCTTGATCGTGTTGTTTAGCGTAAACTACGACTGATGACCAAGTCGTTTATGCCATGTTTCTCCTGTGGCTCTGTGACCTTGTGCGCGCAGATAGTACTCGGCGTTAGCGAAGAACGACAACAGAAGCTGATGACCATCGGAGCGGATCTGATCGAAAGCAGGTGCGACGTAACGAGTAAGTTTTGGTGGTGGAACACGAACCTCAACATCCACGTACTCGCCTGGAGCAAGTACTAACTCGCCGCTTTCTTGATCGGATGCTGCAGGTACAGGTTCAACTCCAACGAGACGACCCGAGTCAAGAATCTCCATTTCAGCGACGTGTTGTTCAGCTTCAGCGAGAAGACGAGCATCGCGTTCAGCAGGTGTGTCGCCCCAAGTTGCTTCATCGGGTTGGTCAGCCCCCCAGATGCCGTCATCAGTCGGCATGTTCGTCGGATCACCCCAACCTTCAACTGCAGCCATGTACTCCCGAGAGTTCTCAACATCATTCAAGCCTTGATCGTCAAAGGTCAACATGACGGCGACAGCCGTGGTTGAAGACGTCGGGACAACTCCCTCACGTGGAACTGTATCGTCGGTGTAATCAATATCATCACGATGCTCCCAAGGACCAAGCGAGAGAATGTTATCAGAGTCAGCAGTAGTACGCTCAGGTATGAAGTTCAAAACGAAAACACCGTTTTGCTCAACTGCCGTGCCAAGTTTCTTTTCACCGTATTTCAGAGTGAATTTTCCAGGTTCACCGAGAAGTATAATCCCGTTCTTCATGAGCTGTGCAGATGACATGAGGTTGAAGCCAAGCCGAGGGACCAGAAGAACTTCGTTCAGGTGAAGACTGAAGTCTTCTTCAACTGAGTCCAGAACAATACTTCCCATCCAGTGAGCTGTAAGTCGTTGGTTATTGGCGACCGTGACGACAACGGGATTCTCCAGACGGCGTTGATTCACGATGAAACGCGTCTCTGACGAACACATGTGCTGACCGCAGCAACTGTCGAGGTACCAAGTATTGGGACCTGCAATGGTATGTGCAAGATTTGCATAGACCTCAGGTGGAATCGGTGTGTTGAGTTCGTTGTTGAACCGGTTGTGAATCCGCTCTTCAGCATCAGGATCATAAACCTTTGAAACTGATGTCATGCAGGTAATAACTTGCTTTGACTGTGTCTTCGCAGGGTCCGGCTTCGCAGAATTCAGCTTCGCAGCGTCCGGCTTCTCTGCTTCCGGCTTCTCTGCTTCACTTGAAGAATCTTTATTATGTTTCGAAGCAGACCGCTTCCAAGATGGTTTGTCTTTCGACCAGCAGGTATCAATAGTGTGTCCTGGTTTTCGACAAAAAGAACAAACGGGCTTGTGACGTGGATTAGAATAAAAACTGACTGTATTGTTTACCATCTTTTTCCCTCCTCGAGCGTTGTGCAGATCCATATCCTGCTGCTCGGCGATGAGAGCGGCACAGAGTGCCCCCTCGGACAACTGTGCTTGCATCCGAAGTATGAGAAGAAACAAGGAATGAATAGACTATGAATGAATTGAGTACAAGTAATAACCCTAATTGGGTTGTACCCCTTATGGGCTACCCCACTATAGCCTACACAATATGCATGAGCTATAATGTTCTGACACACCCCCATAGGCAAAGTGGGGGAGAACAAGGGGTCACAAGACCAGTCAAGTAAAGCAAAGCAAAGCAAGCTCAGGGTGGATCACAAAGTCACCACACATTCCGAGCACAAGTTCAAGGCCACAAGGCCAGTTCACATGCAGGAGTACATATATATAAAAAAGGCTAGACAAGCAAGAGCAGGTATATATATATGTAACAGTACAAGCACGGTCAAGAGGTGAGCAAGTGAGGCAAGGTAGGCACAAGGCCCAGCTGAGTACAGAAGCGCTGATGGTCACAAGGCGCAAGCGCCTTGGTGAAGATATCAGCAGTGTTGGCCTCAGAGGCCACGTACGCAAGACGCAGCTGACCACGCTGCTGCAGCTCACGAGCAAGAAAGTAGCGGAGAGCAATGTGCTTCGTTCTGTGCTCCAGTCGCTGCTCCCGACACAAGGCCAGCATGGCCTTGTTGTCTACGTACAGCACTGGAGGAGAACGAGGCGGCTCTCCGAGGTCAGTCAGCAGGTAGGTGAGCCAGCGAAGCTCCTGTGCAGCCATGGCTCCTGCGTAGATCTCAGCCTCACAACTGGAGCCGAGAACAGAAGACGAGCGAGTAGCCCGCCACGAAACAGAGCCGGAACCAAGGCTGAAGGTGTAACCCTGTGACAACCGCTGCGTAGCCTGGTCGTCAGCCCAAGAAGCGTCTGCGTGCCCAGTAAGGACCACTGGACTCTGCCCTCCAAGTACAAGCCCCATGCCCGACGTACTGCACAAGTAGCGCAACACCCTCTTCGCTGCAGCCATGTGCTCCGGTCTGTGTCTCCCAGGAGCAACATAGCGTGCGAGAATGCTAAGAGGGTATGCAAGGTCAGGTCGTGTGCAGGTCATCAGGTACATGAGGCAGCCAACAAGCTCTGGGTACGGGCCACTCGACTCTACGGACTCATCCGAAGGCAGAGCTGAGAGCGAGTGGCGAGTAGGCAGAGGAGTGGCCTGAGGCGAGGAGTACGTGAAGCCGAAGCGCTGAAGGACCTGCTGCACCATGTGTGACTGAGTCAGGGTAATGGTGCGGCGTGCTCTGTCCCGAGTGATCTGCAAGCCAAGGTAGCTGCGCAGTTCACCCAGGTCAGTGCACGTGTGTCTCTTCTGCAGCTCGGACTTCACGTGGGCGAGTCCAGCAGTGTCAGCTGTGGCAAAGACCAAGTCGTCGACGTACACGAGGATGTAGAACGGCGGCAAAGAAGTGTCGGTGCGCAGAAACAGCGACGGGTCGGCAGTAGAGGGAGCAAACCCAAGAGCCGCAAGTGTAGTCCTCAGTGTGTCGTGCCACTCACGCGGAGCCTGGCGGAGACCGTAGACTGGCCGCCGTAGGCTCCACTGGGTGCCAGGAGGAAAAGACCCAGTGAAACCAGGTGGGCGACGCAGCCAGATCTCCTCGTGCAGGCTGCCCTGCAAGAAAGCAGTGCTGAAGTCAAGAGAGTGTAGCTCGTAGTCACGGTGAGCAGCTACGTGCAGCAGTACCCGAAGTGTGGTCATCTTCGGGGTGGGAGAGAAGGTCTGAAAGTAGTCAACTCCCTGCCGCTGACTGAAGCCTCGAGCCACGTAACG